TAATATATATACAATATATAATATAATATAATATAATATAATATAATATAATATAATATAATATAATATAATATATACAGTATAATTTCATTTGAGCAAACTGGCGGTTGGAATTTTTTGGGGGAAGATTTTCACTATTCTACGTGTCTGACGGATTGGTCTACCTTGGAGATCTGGTATGGGGCAAGTGTACTCTATACGCACAGGCTAATGCGAAGTTGCTTGGCTGAAACAGGAACGTGTTATAGGGGACCCTGAGGAACAGCCCTATTACCTTCTTGATGTTATACCAAAGATGATATCTCTCTCTTAGACACTACTTAACAGGCAGAAAGTGTAAATCTACTTTCAAGCACGGGTGTTGTCTGTTCCATATGGCTCTAACAAGTTCAGCTAAGTAATTATTCTAGCCTTTGTTCGTTGGTTTTTCCGCCAATTATGGCTGGTGCTTTACAGCGACGCTGTTGCTGGTCTTGCAAGCAGCATTGTGCGTTGTTGTATGTGTTCTCTTTTTGTTTCCTCGGGTTACTTGTTCCGCATGAACGACATAATGCGTAACGCTCTAATTTTTCCCCACGCCAGACCTTATTTAAGATCTTGGGGAATTGACCACTATTTTGCGAATCGTTCCAGCAAAACTTCGAGCACTTTTCCAAAAGTATCGAAGCGGTGGTGAGTACTGTACAGTCCCGACGAATCGGGAGCTTTGTGTATATGTGTCAGTGGTTTTGGTTCCATATGTGATTCATTTATATGTTCAATCATACTTACGGCAGTGGTAACCCTTACTTATTGATTTTAACAATTAATCGGATATATCTAATCGGTGGGTTAACCAGGCTTGCTATATTTCCCTCCTGAAGTTCACTTCTTTTTATACCTCTAATACATGGTGATAAAACTAATCAACCAATACAATCAGAGACCCAGTTATTTTGGCAAATTGTATCACTCCCGGTATAAATCGGCAATTAGTACGTACCAGCTAAAATGAAGCAGGCATACGAGTCTTGACAGAATTCATACCACAAATGACCTGTTTCTACGTCAACACCTGTTATCTGCACGCGCACGCACCAGAAAGTAAACGGTGTGGCAAGTCATAAAACTGCATAAACCACCAAGTACCAATGGTCATCCTATCCCGTCCATGGTACCTTAAAATCGATCAATTCTGTCAATTTAGATACACCGCGCCGTATTCTAAAGAATATATGACAAGCTGTCGGCGCCCATACTGTTCCATTAAGACCCTGTCAAAAAAACCAACCCTGAAAAGTTGGTTGGGCAATACCGCTCTGTCTACAACTGAACACATTTCGTACCCTATCTGGCAGCCCCAAGATTGAAACTCAATACTTTTACGTACGTGCGACCCAGAGTGTGGTTTTGTGATGTAACAGTTTTCTGACTGTCAACGACGCAAATAGTGCAGTGACAGGAAGGCAACCTCCGTAATGAAATTAGGACAAAGTCCAGGAAAACTCCGCATGATGTTTTTCCACACCTCGCCATCCAATGACGTTCTTTTTGTAGTTTGTGTTAGATCGGGGTTGGTAGTTCAAGTATCGCAAATCAACACTCCGTCCGCCATCGCAATCCGTAAATACATCAACACAAACCCGACGCTTTTTATGGAGTAATGAAAGGAAGAGCACAAAGAACCTCGGTGCATTTAAGTGCTCGCCTCTTTCTTAACTCCGTGGGAGCAGTTCGGATGTTACTCATTCACTACTAACTGCTAATGAGATCAGTTAGGCTTTTCTAACCAGGACTCACTGATCGCTGGATGAATAAGCCATTATGAAAGTTTCTGATGCTTCTTCAGTATAGCTGCTTAGGTTATGGTTTGAGCTCCTCATCCGCACCCCAGAGAGATGCATATTCCGTATGTGTTTCATTGGAATGAGAGTGGGGCGCTCTTCTCCAGCCACCTAAACATACGTAAAAGATGTAATATTGTGGATTTGAGGAGAATGCCACATAGTACGGTAGACAACTAAGTACTGCTGTACGCATTACAGAGGGAATACTTCTAATCAGTCTTGGTCGCCCTAACATGGTTTTGCTGAAATAACTGCTACTCGGCCATATTTGTAGATCGTTTTACCAGGCTTTGGTCCGGTTTTCCCGGTGTGTTCATTATTTGCTCTGTGCGTTAGCACTCCTTAGTCACTCACGTCCTAATTAGCTTGAATGTGTCAACCCGAAATCAGTTCCCGAAAGATGGAGTAGCTTTGAGTAGTCGATTACTTTTCACTAGGAATCCTGAGCCGGCAGTACAAGTAAGATATCAGCCCAGATATCCTGACTCGTTCGTGAGATTGTACCAACGATGGAGATTCGTTACAATGATCTCCTTGAAGCATCTTCGATCAGGCCATTTTGATTAGTTGATCATTAAGTTCTCCTAGTTGTGGAGAAAAAACCTTTGCACAGCCTTTGCACAGCCAACTGTCACTCAGATGCCTTTGGCTGCATGAATTCGCTCTGAACATTCGTCTTCTCCAAAACTAAGACTTGAAAAAACAAAATTTCTACTTCACGCAATTCGGTTTGTTCGCAAGGCGCTGGAATGCAATCCGAAGCAAACGTTCAACCGTTTGACTACTATCTGGAAAGCCTCTAGTGAAAGTACACATCAAGATTCATGGTTCGTGCAGAGTTGATCGATCTCGACGTGGATGGACTAGCTATTCATTACTTGTTTGTTTGTTGTCTCCCCTGGATTTTCCGGAATGATACAGCTAGCTTACAATTAGAAACTTAGTTTCCGGAACAGACCGCCACTCGCAATAATCTATGACCTCAAAGATGGAGCACCTTTTTATGGTCTCTTGTCATCAACAGTACATGTGAAGTGATTCCATGCCATTTTTCTGCAGCTCTGTATTAAATTAAAAGTAATTGTTTAGCTTTGTGGTGAGCTACTACAACGGAGTTGCTGCATGCATGCGTTTTTTTGGGAAAACAAATCGAATATTGATCATCTGAATTATCGAGATTCAAACCATCTAAAACATTTCCGTCATAGCCTATGGACGGTTTAATTTTCCTCCTTGCTGATTTTACTTGATTGATTGTTCTGCACCGTATGTTGTTCATTCTTTGTCATCCTTAGTATGTGTTTGACCAGGAATCGGGCGCGGATGTTTGCTGCATGGTGGGTCATACATTCTCCTCTAACAGGAATCTGATAGCCACTTCATGTTTTCAAAGCCTCTGATGGATAATGTGTGCCTAATTCATACGCTGCTTTCAATCCAAAACAGCATTTATCTAAATACGTTGCTGTGGAAATCGAGTTTTCCCTGATTTATTGTCATTTCGGATAGTGTTTGGAGGTATACTACCAAAGATGCTAGAGTCTCTAACAGTTGGAGGTTATTTCCTGATGCGTCATTTTCCAACCGTAAAATATACTCCTTATTTATCCGTAGACGACAAGGAGAACAGGTTCAAAGACACTTCGGAAAAGCCTTCTCGGGTGAGCCTTCTGTTCGCGCGAAAATCCCGGTCAAAAAGTAAGAAGGCAGACGCATCTGAACCTCACGAACAGTCAGCGTCACACAGTAGACACTCGGCGAAATTGGCTCTAAAGTTGAACAGAGCAGCCCAAAGCGGGCGGTGACAAACGTTTGCTGCTTCATTTTACTATCAACCGTATCCAGACTTGTCGTCGGTGCCGCAAAAGTAAGTTGTACAAAAAACTTTTGTGGACTAAATTTAGGAAACTATAATAGTACTTTTGACATATATTTCGCCTGTTTTACACCCAGTTCTTGGAGTAGCATCGGAAAATCAAATGGTCTGCATGGCAGTTGTAAAAAACGACGGTATTGATTTTATGTTTGCCTACAATACAACCCACTGTTTCCCGACTGGTCCAATGACTCGGTACCCTTTCTGTCCCATCTCTGTACGTTTGTTACCACATCTGTTTTGCATCATGAAAGCACCGGACTGTGTGTACATTTGGGCCCAGACACACCCTGGGCTGCCACGGCAACCAGCCAAATGCTCGTGTCTATGGGAGCTGGGGGTAAGCAATCGAACGAAATCTTTATTTGAAGCAGTAACACAGGTGGTGTGGAATTTGGTGCATCTTTTAGTCCAATGACCTAGTTATTTGCACCCAGTCAAGTACTCGGGCGAACTGGGAACCTTCCAAACGAATGTAGATGAATAAACTCTACAGAATATGGCCGAATCTCCTCACAATAATATGAAACAACAACTCAGAGGAAGGATAATTTCACTCTCTTGTGAAGCCGCCTTCTTAGAAGTCGTCACTCAAGGAGCCAGTAAATACGTGATCACGTGATTTAGTTCTCCGTTGCTGAACCATGAGTGGCGCTGTGTCCTATCTCAGCGAGAGTTAATCAAGCTGCTGATCAGCCACTCTTGGCCACACAGTTGAGTGTTCAAACACTGGTCGGACGGTCACGGGTTCGAAACAGCCTGACGTTCGTGAGGCGTGCACTGCTGATGATCCACAACAAGGAGGAAACAAGTGTACAGTGCTTCTCGGCTTCTCAAGGTAGATTGGCTCCACCCACAGGATGAAAACTCTACCGAAAACGGATAAACATCTTGCCTGAAATACAAGAATTATTCGCTGCTTCCTAATTTTGTCTGGAAATACAGAGTAGGATTTCTTGCTGTGATTTTTTGGTACAATTGATTTGCTAATGGCATATTTGGACAGCTTTAGTGAAGCGAAGTTAAAATGATTTACAGTTGTAGAATTAACTAAGGTAAGGGGGAATTAAGAAACTACGTAGTGGTGGCGAGGTCTTGCTACTATACCATACTGCGAATGTGCCACGGATTATGGTTGCCAGAATGATTAACTGAAGCCCAAATGAACAGGTCTTTCGTAGTTGCAACGACATCTTTCGTTAACATTCCTACTCATTTCTGTTAGCGTTTTCGGGTAGCTCAGAAACCATACGCAAAAAACTGCCTCAGCGTGCACTATTCTAAAGTGAAAATGGCACTAGATTTGTCGTTATAACTATTGGTAGTTCGAACTTTTTTCATGTCGGTTTTTGTTGAGCCCCGTGCAGTCGTGTACCACGCAAGAAATCTTCACCGGTCATCATCATCGGCTTTCTATAACATGGGTCGCGACCATACAATGTTGGAAACACCGGTTCTCGTCTGGTCACCGAAGTTAAGCAACCTTGGGCCTGGTTAGTAATTGCATGGGTGACCGGCTGAGAATACCGGGTGTCGCGGCCGTTCCTCCTTTGGGGCGAGGTGACTCAAGTGATTAGAGCGCGAATTTACTGACCGGAACGTCCGTGGTTCGAACCCGACCTCTGCCTCTTGACTTCCTCTGTCTAGGCTTGGGCAACCTGGCAGTATCCCAGCCCCCGTGCAACCTTCGGGTGGCATGGCAGTTAAGCACCGAAAGGGTGCTACAGCTGAACGACTATAAGATAACCTTTGCATCATTTTTCCTTTACCGGATCGAGTTCCACTGATCAACCAACTTTGATGGGAGAATTAAGATATTCTTATTATGGGGCTGTGGATTATCTATATAAAACTGCATTCACTGTGCATTCAAAATGCCTAACATGTTCAAAATAATGTATTGACCTATATCCTTTCGGAGTAAACCCATTGTTTTGCAACGGGTTTTCAAACTGCGAACACTGGAGACCACTTAGGTCACTTCAGGCTTATTGACAACAATGAGTGCCAACTCTCACTAAAGTTTTGTCTAGATTCTGGAAAGGCTGTTACCACTACCTAAAACAACGCCTAGCTTACACCGCAATAGCTGGACGTATCCACTTTTCAATCGTACCAGTATAGTTTGTCCTGTTAGACTATTTGGCTACCGTGCAGTTCATACGATCATTTAGGCGTCTAGATAGATCTATGGTGTGCGAGTGAGAAACACGTGCGTAAGATTCCTTTAAAAGATAACAGCTTCACTACTCCACATCCCACAAAGACTACTGTTGATTCGTCGTAAACGTGAACTCATAGCCATACATAACTGACAGCTAATTCAATTAAAAACGGTATTTTCTTGGACAAGGTCACATTGCTGAGACAGTGGTTGCACCCAACGAAGCCTAATTATCCTCCATTCAGCACCAACGAACAAAATTCGCTAATGAGTAGGAAGTGTCTGTTGTAACGACTAAAAGATTTTTTACTAGTGGATATTGTGCAGGTATCTTTGAGGCGCTACAGCCCGTTTTTTTCGCTTCTGGTTCCACATCGAGTCTAACACTTTTATCTTGACATCCTGACCTAATCTACACCTGCCCACACCCGTACGTACCTGATCCAAAACTCGTATTTTCACTGCCCGTCCAGGTGCGAATACGTGTAGGTGTGCAGCTGATAAAGTCTAATCTAAATAGACCCGCACAATTTACGTGTAACCGATACTTATTAGATTCTCATCTGCCTGGGTCATCTAACCCAACTCTATGATTCTCACCGAATTTGCAACATTTCTGATTTGGTTCCAGCCCTCATTCATCCAGCTGTCCATTCATTTACCTATTCAAGTAGCCTACTTGAACAAATGGCCGTCCGCCTCACACATTATACGGAAAAGGATTTTTTGCGCTGTAGGTGCGATTAAAAGTAGATTAATATAGCTAAAAAATAAATAGTTACAACAGCTGATCAGAATGAAAAAGTTCTGACTGGAAGCTCACAAACAGACTGCTTCTGCCTCTTAGCTAGATCTCTGATGACAACAGAGTAGACGGTTCGTCCGACTATGGTCTCAAACTCGGCAGATATTTCGTTCGGGGACAACATCCATCACCATCAACTTTGATGGCTCGGCCATGTGCTACACATGCTGAAACACTATCTGCCTGGGCAAGTGTTGGTCTCCGTGCCTCCTTCAGAATGGCGTAAACCGTGAGGTGGAAAACGTATGAATTGGCAGAAGGGTCTGAAAGATAGTACGAAGAGTATGAGTGTTCTTGGTGTCTTCCAGATGGGGTCCCCTCGACCCCGCCTGTGCGTGGCTGGAGACGTTGCAAGAAGTGGCGGCTAATCGATGTCAGTGGCGTTGGTGCTGTCAGTTTCTTTCGAAATCGTCTGAGTGAGCGCTTGAAGGTGCAGGTATCTCGTTATCCGTGTCATAACCCAGCATTAGGTCCACGCCTTCACTGACTCTTTCTCTCTTCTTTTCAGTCTAGGACTTTAGATACAGTTAGACGAACCTTATGGTTATGCGGCAGTGAAGCATCAGTGACAACACTGATTTTCCTGTCTTTGATGATGATGATGACTCACTAGTTCTTATTTGGTCTCCAAGCTTTCGGCACTTCTTAGTCAGATCACAAGGAAGAGTACGGCGAAGCCTAGTTGATGCACTAGAACTGCTTTTGTACAACAAGCTTTAAATTCTCACTAATGGCATCACTAGGTATAAAAGTAAGAAGGGCAACAGGACAGGTCTCTGAAACGTGAGGTATCTGGTGCAAACTTTGTTGTGCTTCATGGTACGTTCACAGCAATCAGCAGAATAAACAAACGATCGACGTTCCAACGGATTGGGGGTACAACAGAGCATATTTTAATGCATATTCTTCAAGATACACAAGCATAATACAAGAAAAGTACGGACAGGAACAGTTATACTCGCTTTTCTGTGAAAACAGGGGCAACGAACAGTGGGGAGTGTCCGTTAAACCTGACTACTCCTGATGGGGACAGCAGGAACCAGAATCTGGAAAATGCGACTTGATAATGTCCTGTCCTGAAAACTGGTCTAAATGACAAGTCGGTTGTTCAACCGAGTAAAAAAGTGTGAGGAAAATAAAGAAATAAGGTGGTCCCGGGAATAAGAGTAGTACGTGAGTATTGGTTCCTCTCGACAGTCTCGTGCGCAGGGCTGCGCTCTGTGCTTCCCTCGCCTTCCCAGCAAAATTAGGTCAAATGTTTATTGCATTTGGATGCACTTTTTGGCTGAAGCTTTATGCCTATTTTGTTACTCCTGAGCTGTGTCTAAACAAGTGCCAAAACAGGTGGCCAGCTGACCCCATATTTACTATTCATTATCACTAGCGACCGGAAATCGATGTACAGATCGAAATTTCATTAAAAAACGGGATTTTTATGTGGCAAATATCACTTTTCAAAGTGGCGTTCATTGTTGTTGTTCATTTATCTTTTTTACTCCTCACTTCCAGTCTCACAGTTTCAGTGAGTGTCCTTACACCAGTCCTACGCGGGAGACCTCAGCAACCCAATAGCCTCGCAAACGGACAACCGGCATGCAGTTTAACATCCTTCTCACTTCCCTAAATGTTCCCGCACCCCTCAAAAAACGACCACCCATGCCTTCTACAAGCTTCAGACTGCCATCGAACTTGATTCAAACCGGGCTGTAAATATAGATCTTTTCAAACATTTTCTATCGCAGAGGAACAGTCTTTTCGATTTCCGTCCACACTCCTCGCTAGACTTCAGAGGCAACAAGCAAGCAGTCTGTAGTTTCTCAAGCAGCCCACGATAATGAAACGCATTAGACAGCTTGCAGTACTGATCCCTGTATGTCCCTATTTTCCTTCAACCCAGAGAAAGTCGCAACCACTGAGCGCATCGGAATGGGTTGTAAGTAAGCTCCCGGAACACCTGCGCGTTAATTTCGCCTCCTACGATGCAGGTACCCTCAACCGAAATTTCGTACTGGGAAATTACTTGATGTAGACAAAATTGCGTCTCACTCCCGCTTTCCGTGTACTTAATAGTCTGACAACACTTCAAGACCCGAAATCCAAGCAAACACCTACCATCGTGTCCGATTTCACAAGATAAACAACTGGGCTAATTTATCCACAATCTAGTGGACAAAATATCTGGCCTTTTTCTATCCTTGTGTTTTATCTTCCGTCCCTCCGCTCCAATTCACCGTAAAAAAGCTCACCTGACCACATCTGGTTGATTGTTTTCTACACAACATCAAATTCCCAGTCTAACAGCCGAACAACGAGCACACCCATGTAAATTTCACTCTTTTTTGATTGGCTTATAATGCTACTGCTTATTGAAAATACGAACACCCGACATTGATTCACTCGAGGCTTTGTAATATCCCTTCTTCAAGGTAATGTAATCTTCTGTTTTGTGCACTATTTGTTCACTTTATTAGTTTGATTTGGTGAAGTATTTTTGCGACTGCATGAACTTATTTTTCACGTCTCTTTGGACGTAAACGCGCCTCCCGTTTCATACACAAATGAGCAACCAGATTGGGCTTCGTAGTCGCACACACATACAGAGAGAATCAAGCATCCCACTTCCGTAACCACTTACTGATACAGCCCGCTTTTTGATGAAATTTTCTGATTGTTCTGGCGGAACTTTAGCAAGCAAATTTACTATAGGGCACGCCAATATCGATAAACCTTGTCCTGGATGTAATTATTCGTCTATTGTGACCAAATAATTACTGCCGATTCTGAATGAAATGACTTTTATATGATATTACAACGGGTGGGTGCAGAGGGAAAGGTGTCAAGTTGTGGAGACGGGAAGGGGCATGTTTGAAATTTTATAGTTTCGGATACGGCTTGATTGGCGGATAATGAGCCCGGAGTGAGTGACCCCAGCTGGCATACGGAATAATACTAGTCTGACTCAAATTATCGCTCACATGAGGCTTCGTCTAACAATAACAGCCTAGCTGTATTGATAACCATCTTAGAATTAAGCGTACTGGCTAAGATGAGACGTCAACCTTGTCGTGATTCCTCGATTTAGCCAACCAAATTCACAAACAGGAGATTCAGCCGGGTTCCAGGTGAGTCTCTAGAAAAACCAAATTAGTTTGCAATGAGTGTATTTAACTCAATTCTTATTTCTTGAACAGCGCTGCCAAATACTCCTTTAGATGGCGGCGAATATAAATCACGCAACTGGTTTAGGCAGACACGTCGGAGGCTGCGTTTCATTTGCGGTCTAACGTGAGTAAACTTTGTATCGTGCGTGGACCAAATGGCTGCAAAGAAACATCAATCAAAACCTGAATCAATCGCTATCAGAACGGCCACCAAACAGATCATATGGTGTCGAGTGCTTGGAAAATAACGAGATACCAACAGAAGGAATCGCAGACTAGCTCATAGTCACCTGAGGAAAGCCGAAAACAAAGATGTATAATACTAGCTGTAAAATAGTTTTCCCTCAGGCTACAACTGAGAAGAATCGGCTTGCAGGAACCAGAACTATGTACTGGAACGTCCACCCTAGTTCTTCGCCATAGAAATACGTGCAGCAAACTGAAACTTATGGATTGCATCGCGGTCCCGAATCCAGACAATGTACAAACAAATACTTGAAAAAGCTAGAATATGTGCACGACAAAAATTGCTATTCGACTGCTTGGATTCTTTGTTCAACCGGGGAAATTGTGTTGACAAGAACTGGCATTCAAATGTGTGTCACGAAATGTGTGCATGAAATGATTGAGTCTAGGTAGGGGAAGCTCACTGAGTTCCAGTCATGAAAGAAACCATCACTTTTCAGTCAATAAATCTTCGAGCAAGTGAGGTGCGTTATCTTGTGGGACATATCTGATGGGAGCCAGATCAGTACATCCAGTGGTGTCGGATAAAAGTGGTCCTTTTATCCCTTCCAACTCAGTCAACAGCATGACCTTGGAAAACTCACTCCCTGCCTGTGAAGTCGGAATGCTCCAAGGCCGTTCGCTCATAGATATCCAACAATATAGCACATCTTGGATCTGATGACACCATAATGCAAACAGTGTTAAATCGTCTACACAATTCTGTCTGAGAGTAGTGCTGCGAGGATCAAAGCTAAACCTTATACTCTCAGTAAGCCTCTCAAAGTAATAGACGGATTTGTCCATATCTCAGTGGCAGTCTCGGTGGTCCAGCTGAGGATGATATTTACTTTCAGATCTGGAAGACAGGGGCGGCTTGTATGAACCTTCCTCTGTGGTATGAGCTTGTCTCTCAAGGGTTGGGTTTGCAATGCATCAGTGTGCTTTATATTGTTATGTAGGTAATAAACCCGGCTCCTGCGGGCGGAGGATGGCGAAAACTTTTGGTGTTTGACAACTGATGTCTCCGCACTATTGCCCGAGACTGATGAAGACGTCGAAGGAAATAACTCGCCCACAATAGATGAAATGATCACACCACATAGAATGTGCTGGCTTGTTCACGTGCTGCATAACCCAATTCTCCGAAGAGCTCTTTACGCACACCCACGAAGGTCGGAACGAGATAAGGGAAACCGAGCAACGAAATATAAGAGCTATCACTAGCAAACTCAACTGTTCTGGTCATTACCGGCTAGGAACCACAAAATGAGATACATCAACAGTGAGAGACACTGACAGACATGGTGCAGTCATGCACTTAATGGCGCGCATTCATCCAGACTAATGAGTCCAATCCACCGCTTCTCCTCCACACCTTCCCTATGAGATGCCCACCGTCACTCTTGGATTCACGCACCAGTTACATCAGCTCCACTGTGTAACAGCACAAGCAACTTTCGTTCTACGTATTTCCCTCCAGCAGATGACGGAAATTTCTGAGTTGACTGGCACTTCGCGCATTACCATTCTAGTGAATTGAAGCATCCTATGCAACAAAACTGGCCTAATTTACAGTCGCTCAAACTTTGTTAACCGGTCCAAATTATTTCAAAAATACAGTCAGCCCATGGACTCTTAAGTGCCGGAAAACTGTTGCTTATGAATTCGTCGTGGTACAATTCTTGCGTGTTTGCGCCAACCGCGCAGTACGTTACTATGAAGCTCCTTTTGCAAAAATGTTTGACAGGCCTCGCGAAATCCAAGAGTCTACCCTTCTGTTCCATATTAGAATGCCAGAGAACGTCTGTTTCAAACTCCGAACATAATATAATTTAGCTTGGAGCTCTATATGCCATCGGTAAAAAACGAACGGGAGGGGAACAGTTGTTTGTAGAAACCTTTCAACCTACATATCACATGGTGTACTTCAATACTAAAAATTTCTAGGCACGTCTACACGTCTAGTGAATTGAAGCATCTCACACGTCTCACTTGTGTCTGCATTCATCAAGTTCTGATCTGAAGCCCTTTGAGCCGGTGTGCCCTGTTTCAAAGGATAGGGACTTGTCAATCTGAGGATGGCTCCACCGCGTACTGGAGGGACTGAAGGTGAACTTACAGATCACGCTGAAGGCTTAATTTTGTCTCTCGTACGGCTGGCGTCCATTAGTTGCGCTGTGATTGTGCTTATCGAATGTCGTGGTTTGTAGGGGTAAGCAATGTAGGTACAATTTTATTCTACGCTTGGGTAGCCAACTCGTATGCCTGATGAAGAACGCATCACGTGGGCAAAGCACCAGGCATGAGGTCCCTAAAAATGGCTTCTTCGTGCTGTTTATTGTCACAGGCAATCCGTTGGTAGATAAACGGGATAAGTGTGTCGTATTAAATCTTCCCTTTACGGTATTAGCTAATAACCTATTCAAAATTTCGCTGCTAAACCACTTTTTAGTGGAGAAAGAACGAATGAACTCTGTCAATTACTTCATTTGAGTAACCAGCTTTTACAACATTTAGTTATTTTTGGTACCGCCTTGGCGGAGTGGATTTCATGAGCTGTAGTCGCGTGGAATGTGATTAGGTTTTGCTTTTGATTTTAAGGCTCGAAATACCGCAGCTCTTCATCTAATGGACTGATTCAGTTGAATACCCAGGATAAACGCTTACTTGCCTCACTTTTTCGATGGGGAAATTATTCTGAGGACATGCACTGTTGAAACTGACCAGCAGACTGTCACAGACAGAACCCGCACTGGTTACCTATTCTGTACGCATCGGTAATATTGAGCTAAGCTACTAACTTATTTCTTAACCTATCCATAGATAACCATAACTATGCATATCTAGCTATATTCATAGATACAATAGTTAGTAGGGGGTAAATTGATGATCTCAAAGCAATTGTGGCTTCACCAATTAACCCCGTTAGTCTAATATATTAAATACCCGGCGGTCGAAGAAAATGATCGCCCAACTTACCTTTGCGTGACCAGGTGTGCACCATACATTGCCTTGATGAATTTCCGTCTAACTCACATACAGCTTGCTTCAGATCTTCCCACAAGTAATATGCCACGGAAATCTTGGGAGGGATTGGATTGAGCGGTACTGATATTACAAGTCTGGTTCATTGGAGCACGTGTTTTGGTGGGGAATTTAGAATCGCTTTACGTTATACTTCAAAAAATTGGTCGTACTTCCGATTTTAGTTTGAGGGACATGTTTTCATCCACATTCGGAATCGCCAGGAAAGCGTATCCCACAAAACTGACAGAGCTTCGAACCCGTAGCCTTCCGATCAGTGGTTGAACAAAACTGTTCTGACTCAAGTAGCTTGACAGTAGTGTGATTTCCTGTCATTTAGACAGGATATAACGCCGCTTAACTTTTAATCACATAAAGCACATCGCGTGGTCATGGACTGATCGGTTTCTCGAGTGACGACTCCTCAGAAGGAAGTTTCATTCATTGTGGAATTACTCTTCCTCTGACCGCTTATAGATTGGCGAAAGAGTGAGAAAATTCGGTAGTCTTTAAGTAAGATTTTGTCCTGTCAGTGACACCAAGCTTAGCTGTGAGATGCCGAGAAGCATCGTGCAGTTGTTTCAACCACTGGGCCTCGAGTGGCCTAGCAAATAATGTTGGCATGTATTTTCTTCAAAGCAAGCGGCGGTTTTGAATTAACAAGATATCCAACGTAGCCCGAAAGCCCTGAATCATATACGTACGTTTCATACTGCAGCGTGTATATTCTGGACGTGTAAATCCCAATTTCTCTAAAAACGTTTAAGTAGCACCAACAACTAGGTAATCCGAATAATAATACACGTTTATAATCTGACATCTGTCCATAAAATCTAAAGGAACTAGGGTTATACGACCTGTAAATGTGAATAACTCAGGACACCATCATTCAGGAATTAACCAGTACCGACGGTGCCCGGCTATATTCTGTATACTTCACGGTGAGAAGTGAAGTGAGCCTTCGGTGGACGGTAATTAGTCACATCCAAATTATCGCAGTCAATGTGACCAATAATCGTCAAGAGGTAGCTAGCAGCAGGGACAGTGTGTGCTCAAACCTGAAGAGTCCAGAAATCAACACCTTTTTTGCATCGTTATCATGCCTGACGCTTCCTGGTACCTTTGAGTAGCATAGTACTCTCTTGACAAGTTGGTGTTTCCAAAGTACTTGCAAGGTTGGTGCGAAACAGCTAGGTGCCAAATTTAGTTGCACTAAGAGATGCGTAATCTTAGGGAAAAGATCACTGTAATTCTCAAGACAATGTCTGTCAAAAATACTTAAGGCATACCGAAGAAACCTTGGTAAAACTTCAATTGTTTAGCCTACACGAGCGGAATATATTCATTCACCACCAAAGCACAGCTATTCTGGTAGAAG